TATAGAACAATTGTAATGTTTTTAAAAAAAATTAAAAAACCCTGAACTTTATTTCCATCTAAACAGTTCACAGTAGAAAACTAAAGTGATCTTCCATTTGTAATCAGTTGATAAGATATGGAGGGAATTCTGGCGTATGTAGTAATAAGGGTGGCGGGGCTGCATCCCCAGCACCCCGGCTGCCTGGCTAGCTCATGCCCGAAATAACAACACACAAACTGTATTCATTTAATCATTGCTTGGACCATTTCTAATCATCTGTGTAGCGCCCCTAGGTGCGCTTACCGGGAAGATTCTAGCCTATGTCCATCCTGGGTCGAAGCTTCATCCCAGGAGCGGGGCATGGCGTCTCTCTCAGGCATCTGCTCCCGAGAGGAGAGCTGTGGAGTCTGAGCTCACTTCCTCTTCCTCCCAGCGTTCTGTTCTGTTTACTCCTCCCACCTATCTTCTAACCAATGAGGGCCAAGCAGTTTCTTTTTATTTAACCAATGACCTTCCTACATCATTTCCCCTTTTTCGGTTTAAACAAAAAAAAAAGGCTTTAACTTTAACATAGCAAAATTACATATAACAAAACAGTTATCAAGTAAAAGTTACAATAATCTTTATCATAACTAAGGAAAACTATAACTATAACTAACTATTCTTAACTCCATCAAAGACTCCAGAAAGATACAATACTACCTAAGCAAACAAGAAAAAAGCAACTTTTAAAACTCTAGAAATGACAGAGACATCTCGCTGCCTGGACAGTCACCCAAAGTTCCTCTGTACCGTTGGGGCATCCATCTTCAGCCTTCAGGCCCATGGTATCCAGCAGACATTTCCATAAAGCAGGAAAATTCAAAGTCAGTTCAGTCACTATCTGTTGTGTCCTGCAGAATGTCTCACAGACTCTTTCATGAATCAGAAACCCCGAAAGATCATCTCACCTTAGGCAAGTTCAGTAGTCCTCTCTCTGTGGGTTCTCTGTGTCCAGTTTATGCAATAGTCCAGGCAAGAGCAGTTTCTTGCCCAAATGGCTATCAAACTCCATAACGAGCCTCTTCGATGCCCATCTTCCTCTTGAAGTAGATTGGTGCTGCCAGGAGCAGAGTGTCTCATTGTCATGAAAAGTCCTAAGTTATTAAAACATTTAAAATGCCATAATCTATAATCTTTGAAAAATATGAAGAATGCCTATCTAAAATATATCTACGCACATCTAGAAAATATTAACTAACATGACTACAAACTTGACTATTATTTATGATTATCCATCAACAACCTATATTTCCTAATTATACATTACATTTTAATAATGAACTACACAATCACAATACCTTAATCAATATCAGAAATACATATACATATAACAAAATTGACCATAAATCTCTATCAATAAAGCAAAATCTATACTAATACAAATTATTCATACCTATATCATATCCCCCTTTAAATGTAAAAGAACATTTATAAACATTTTTTGGGAATATGGGCGCAATTATATAGAATTATAAAATTAGATAGAAGGTTGCCTATACACATGTTCTCATTCCTGTAACCATCACAAAGATCAAGATAAGGAAATTTCCAATTCCATCCCTAAGGCTTCTGTCTTGATAAAGAGAAGACCTTCACCAGGTAAAGGTTCTAGCCACTGAGCCTGATACCCAGGTTCCACACAGTGGAAAGAGAGAACTGACGATCTCAAGTTATTATCTGATACCGGCAGGTATGTCACTGTGAATGTGGCCCACACATATCTGTGCATACACAATAGTTAATGTAGTTGAAAAGCCCATGATTCCAATTTAGAGATCATAAGCCTAATAAGCAGTACCGCTTTCTAAGAATAAGCCAACCCATGTTTTCATGTCACCAGCCAAAGATTGTCCACCAAGGGCCATGTGTAAGTGTCGCAGCTCTGAGGGAAAAGTTTCCCCAATGCAAGTGTTACGGCTTTGAGGGGAAGGGTGTCCTGTCAGGAGCCAAGGAATAGCACAAAGTGACACCATACAACAGACCTCACACAAGATCTTTTGGGAAAGACACAGGAGGGTGGCGCCTCTGCTTGGGGAGAAGCAGCAAAGAACTGAGAGAGAGAGGCAGGCTTGTGTAGGGTTTCTTGAGGGCAGAGTTTTCCAGGGTAGAGATTTCCAGGGGAAATTGGTGGGGTTTCAAGTCCTACTGGGATTTCGAGCTCAGGGATTGTGGGTTCAAGTTGTGATCTTGGGCTTTTTATGAGGTAGGGTGGAGCTTGACCACCTGTGTCTGGAGGGCTGAGTCTGTTGTATAGGTGGAGCTTGGTGGTTGGAGGTCCTCAAGTGGGACCCGTGTCTCGAGGGACTTGTACCGAAAGCTTAGCAACCACTTGGTTGTTGAGAAGTCTCAAGTCTGCACTTGTTACCTGTGTCGGCCGTGTTTCATACAGGATTGTTACTAGAGTTATTTGACTCCCAGATGTACATCTTCTGATAGTGAATAGCTTCTCAGTGAAAGAAGTTGCCTTAGCTGACTCATTTCCAAACATCTTCAGATACTGGATCACTCCTCAGTAAAGGAAGTTGGGTTGACAGACTCATTTCCAAAGTTTAGACTTATATACCTGCTTATTTATACTCCTGAGCATTCAGAATGACTAGACTAAGAGAGCATTCACAAATGCCAGCATCTGCAATAACCGGCGGGGATAAACAAGTGAAACATGCAGTCTGGGCCTGTCTCCACCACAGTCCTCGATGTTGTGTGCATTCATGTGCATTTCTGACTTCCTTCCTGAGGGCAGTGTGGATGTTGACTAAGCATTCAGATTTGTCATCCTCATTGCTGCAGTGGCACTGAACTGTTGTAAGTAATGTACTCTTGTGTTGTCCCTATCCAAGGGTCCATGTGCTTTTCATTTTCTGAACCAACTCCCCCCTTGGCCCAGATATCTTTCTAGTGCCCACGTTTATAGTCAGCAAATACTGGAAGACTGTGCCATAGTCCTTACCTGCAGAGAGTCGAGCTGAGTAAACAAACAGACAGGTAGTCATGTGTTCAATTCTGTAACAGAGGAAGGAATTGTACTCTGCGCGTATGGGGGAAGCTGGTAATGATCTGTAGAGTCCCAGCCCAGGGACAGCATCAATAGAGGACTTTCTCCTGCATGAGGAGGATGTCTCAGGACAGTGACTTAATCAGATTCCTAAGCTGTTTGATGGGCCCTAATCACAGCAGGCTGGTCTGCTGTCCCAGTACCTATCTGCTCAACACAGAGACACCAATGGCTCCCTAACGGGGATGTGAGAACAGGTGCAGAGGGATAGAAGAGAGGCAGCAGGCTCCCTGACCAGAGTCTCAATGACCGAAGGTGGAACTGTGCTTTCCTAACATCAGTAAGAGCTGAAGTTTTCTAATTCAGAAGGGAAAAAATACTTGCAAGACAGGAGCACAGGATACCTGGTAGATAAATTCTAGAATACAGTCCCTTGGCGCACAAAACCATCTGGAATGAAGAAAGCACAATCCCAAAAGAGAAATGTGGAATTTGAATGCTCTGCCTCAGGCCAAAGGGATCACCAGAGAGCACTAAACAAGAAATTTCTGGAAATTATACCAGCATCCTAACGTTTTTCTGGTATAATTTTAATACTTCTGTTTGTGAAACAAAGTAAGTGGGAGATGCTTGCTGGCTATTTGTGCAGTGAGTGTCTGGGGCAGGGACTAGAGGTCAGAAGTGTTGACTTTAGCTCCGTCTTCTCGCCCTCAGAAGGCCCTTTTTCTTGGAGGAGTGAAAGTACAGACCTCAGTGTCCATTGCTAGAAAGACTTTAGCTGATATTGGACATTTGCTTTAACAGTGAAATTATTGTTTACTCCACAAACAATTTTCAAGAGCTATTGTAATAATGGGAAGCCAACTAGAAACGGTCTCTTTCCCTCTTTTATAGCCATAAATCTCGCAATGGTGAGAGACAGTGTGGTGGTACCTATTGAGTACAATTTAGCTGAATAGTCACACTTTGCATTTGAATGGATGTCATGAAAATAAATGTTACATTAAAACTGGACAGCACTTAAGGAGATTTAATAATTCATCCCATTGTCGCTGCAAATAAATGAACCAAAGCCCCTTTTATGCAGTTGTTAAAATATGGTGGATAATGATCCATTTGTGTTTAATATTGCTAATAAATTTGAAAGTTTACATTTTTACTGATAAACATTTTCTTGAAATGCAGTGTAGAAGGACATACGGCTAAATTGAAGTACTTTATAAATGAGAATTGTAGATAATGATACGATTAGTAGCAGTGTTGTGTCAAGAGCCATCCACCGCTTACCTGCATTCCTTTCAGCGCTCAGCAGTGCGTTTCGTATTTCACTTTTATGTGCACCAAATTGCACATGATAGTGGGGGAAACTAGCGTGGTAACAAAGTAATGATCGTAGTAAATATTGTGCTTTTCCTTGTTGACTTAAATTACACATTTACAATATCTCACGAAAAATCTTATTAGTCTAATTTAATATGTTGAAATATTTTACCTATAAAATTTATGTTTAGGAGAAATGCTTAAGTCTCTGAACAAACAGTTGTACATCCAGACACATAGGCGTACACATGCATGCAGTGTTATATTGTGTGATTCAGACAGTTTGAGGTGGAAATTAGTTTTAATGGGAGCCATACGGTTTTAATATTCATATCTGCACAGGCTTTAATAAAATGCTGTATATAGCTCAAGATACCCAAAGAATTCTTTCCTTTTTAGTGACTTTTCTCTAGTCTACATGGGGGAAGCTGAGAGAAACTAATTTATACCTTATAAATAATATCCCCAGGATCTGTCTTAAAACACAGTAGCAAGCTGAGATGTACTTTTGTATTGAAAGCTTTGCTTTATTTGATTGCCACGCTGAAGCCTTAGAGTTCTGACCTCAGATTGCCCTCTGTGTTGACTGGAATGCACAATGTTCTGAATTGTATTTCATGTCAGTAGTAGACATTATGTCTCATTCTCTTTCTCCAAGAAGATTCCAGAAGCTTATTTCATTAGAGACCCCCACACGTTCCTCCTTACAAAGGACTTTGTTAAGGTACCTGTGTTGTGTCCAGTACTGAAGGTGTTTTCTGGTCTTTAACTGCATGCGTGGATGCACAGGTTAGCATTTCCACATTTAACCCCAGCTTCTGGTAATGAGAACAGTGCTGTGCTTAAATGAAGCATGATTAGAAGAAATGAAGCTTGTCCCCCAAATACTAACACTTGAAGGATTCTGCACCTTGAAAAAAGAGCACTTCTAGAATTTTCTAGATCCTTTTATGGCTGACTTGAGCTACACTTGCATTGTGAAGAGTGTGTTGACCTCTCTTTTGACACATATTGCTTATGGCAGTCACCCTCCTTGCCCTGCAGGCCATGGAAGCACAGATACAGAATTTTGGACAGACGCCATCTCAGTTGCTCATCGAGCCACATCCTCCTCGGAGCTCAGCCATGCACCTGGTAAGGCCTCAGCCTGTGGAGGGATTCTCCTCTCCTTTGAACACAGGTAGAAAGTAAATAAAATGGTATTTCAGTAATATTTTCAGAGGCTTCTCCATTTCTCTGATGACTCTGAAGCTCAAGGGCATGCTAGAAGGAAGTGTGATTTCTACTCTTCAGTCCTGCTTATTAAGCGAGCCCAATCTTGGGCTCACAAAGGCAGCATCTACTTCTCCCTAAGCCTATTAGTGTACACACAGGCACACGCACACTGGCCCCAAATCAAATTAGATCCGTAAATTACCACGCAGTATAAACACAAGTCAGTAAGAGTGGTTCATTTTAAGAAAAGTGAATGATTCTAAAGGCAATTTGTGGCTCCTGCCAAGTGACTGTGGAACAAAACAGGCTGGTTACAAATAAGAGCTCCAAAGTCAGATATGAACCAAACACCATTTCAGCCACTAACTAGTGACTGTGGCTGAGTACTTAACAGCTGTGTGCTGACATTTCAGCATCTGGAGCATCCCTGCACTGACAATCTAAGGCCTGCTTCTGAACCTCTCTTAGGCCAGCCCCTGATGTAAGCTCCCAGTACATGCTAGGTGGCTTCATCAAGAGCTGACCATGTTAGACCACAAATCCCAGAATGCAAGGAAAAAATGTAATCTTTATTTTATATTCTAAAATTTAAAGGTCCATTCTTAGAATAATGCAATCCTTTTCCAGTTTATCATCATATAGCAAACATTCCCCTTTTTAGTTAATTCAAAGAAGGCAAAAAAAAAAACTTGCTGAGATACTTCTAATATATTTTTTAAACTGTGATCTTTTACTATTTTTTTAAATGAAAGTACAGATGTTTTGAGACAGAAACAGTTGCAAATGAATTCTCATATGATCTGTGTGTATCCACCATCTTGGAGACAAGCTCTTCAGTGAGGAACTCTGAGATAGGATGGCAGTGGGTGGGCGTCAGCAAGCCTGTAAGCCAGTGTTTCTCTGATGGAAGAAATGCTTAGTTCCTTCATTTACTTAATGTGTTTTTGAGCCCTTCACATTTCCTATGACTAGGCAGTGAGACACAGTGTCCGGTGTGTCCTCAGTTCTACCAAGAAGCAGGCAGTCTCTACCTGGGAAAGTAGATCTACATGCTTGCTTTAACCCTTCTCCCCACAGCAGCCATCTATGTAGTCTAAGACCAGGGCCACAGTGGGTGTCTTTTGATTGCGGTTGGTCATTCTGTGTAACAAAACAGAAAGATTTGCATGGAACACAGGTTCTTCCCAGATGACTCTCAGCAATGGTACAGACCAGATGTGGTCTTAGAGGGCCAAGCTCCACACTGCCTAAGGAGTCTCCTGCATCTGTCTTATGAAACGACTTGGTGGGAGAGTTCTAGTCTATATTACTTTTTCTCTGTTTTTGATGATGATGATGATGACGACAACTATCCTGGGGAAGTGCCCAGTTAGAACTCATTACCTTCCTACAAGGAATTATTGGATGCCAAATTGGCATGGAGCTGTTAAGAGAAAATGAGCTTTCTAAGCTCATGCTCTATAGAGACAATCGTCAAACATGGCTAAAAACCAAGTGGTGTCTATTTCCAGCATTTTTATTTTATGTTTTTGTATAATAGAATTTATAGTGCTCTGTAGTGCTTATAGCATCTGCTATCAAGAACTAGATATTTAAGAAGAAAAGCTCAAGAAATCAATAAACTGAACCTATAAGAGAGAGAAGGCATAAGCTCTGAACAGGTCAGCATAGAGCCCAGATATACCTGAAGACACTGGCCAGAGCACCAGGCCACTGGTGGTTGTATTTTCACCCTTTATATCCTGGCCCTACGTTAGCCCAAAGATGGCAGTTGCCAGCCAAATCACTTTATATTTCATGCTAACATTATCAATCAGTGATTGAATAATTTCCCATCAAATTGATTTTTTTTCTTCCCTGAACAATGAATGATGTTCATCTTGTGGCTATGTCTGTGAGCTGTCTATGTGATAACCTGGCCATATACAAATTGAGGCTGACTCTTAGCAGCAGAGTGTATTGCTTCAGTGACTTAAGAGACCCTGCTCCATTTTTCTCTGTGCCTTCTTCAGGTGAAGCTGCTTTATCTGGGGGTACCCTGGCCAGGGAGACCGTTCAAATGGCTGTGCTCACACTAGCCTTATCTGCCTGCATCTCCTATACCTAGACCTTCAACTAACCAAGTTATCTTTCTGTTTCCTTCTGTCTCTCCCCTTTCTACTCAACAGTGTTTCCTTCCACAGAGCCCGCTCATGTTTAAAGATCAGATGCAGCAGGATGTGATAATGGTGCTGAAGTTTCCATCCAATTCTCCTGTGACCCATGTAGCCGCCAACACCCTTCCCCACCTGACTATCCCTGCAGTGGTGACAGTGACCTGCAGCAGACTGTTTGCTGTGAACAGGTGGCACAACACAGTAGGTACGTGGGCCTCAGCACTCAGCGCAGAGCTAAGGCGTCGTTACATGCAGACAGCAGCAGGACAGAGTGCTGTCAGGCCCAGCTGGCAGCACAGTCTGTCCACTACTACAGCCCTATGTTAGTGCCCTAGGCGTGGCTTCGTTCTTCCTCTGCACTCCAGCAATCTTCCAAACAGAGCAAGTTTGTCTGGATTTTGTAGGCAATAACTTCAAACTATCCTCTTTCAATGACATTAGTTTACTTGTCATTAGCAAATATTTCAATGCCCATTGAAATATCAATGTATCAAATAGTCTTAGGCTTTCAATAAGCGGGAAACAAGACAGATACCATCTCTAGCTTTGTGCAGCTTGTCTGTGAGAAAACGAAAGCTCTGAAATTGTCCAGTGATTTCACATGTGTTTGCTCCACATTCAACCATGAGGGCTCCAGCCAGCACATCTTGAAGTGATATAATGTCATCGCAAACATTTAGACACACTGATCCTTATTTAACCAGGGCAGACATGAATGTGACCAAATGATTTAGTTGGCCCAGTTCACCACTTATGGCTTCCTGCAAAGCCTCAGGACTTCCACTGTCTCCAGGACTGAAAGGATGAGCCCTGCTGATTTAACCTGGATCTTTCAATTCCACTGAAGTCAACCTTACTCTGAAAAGGGCAGTGATTTATACCACACTTCACTTCCATGAGTTTCTATGTGCCTGGCTCTGGTTTGTGGTTGTTGGTGATATTATCAGCAGGGGGTGGCACAGCTTCTGCTTGCCCAGGAGTGTACAGCAGACATCTTATGGGAAAAGAAGACTTCATTATTCATGGGGCCTTGGCCCCTAGGAATGTTTCTTATTAAGAGAAAAAAAAACTATAAAGGGCTAAATTATTAAATTGTTCAAGAATATTATGTATAGTTATTTTATAACCGTATATAAAAATATGACAAATGAACTCAGAGCCCAGATGTCAGTCCCAGAAGTAACTTAAATGGGATGAAAGTTTTAGGTGAGACTCAACTTATAACATGGATTGATTAGTCACTTTATTGGGAAAGGCCCCTTGTAGGAGAGCCGCAGCGCCTACCTGGCCCCATTCCATGGAAGCTCAGCCTGGTCTTGTATTCCAGGTCCACTGGTTGCATTGTAAGAAATGTTGTGATGCTCTCTTGTCCAGTTTACCACTTTTCTTGACTTAACACATCTCAAGGAAAACCTGAAGTTCCTGCTGTGGTGACTTTTTAGGACTCAATGAGGTCACATGATGGGACCGAGTCAGCACAAATTTTAAACAAATGCACATTTTATGTGGCATCATAAAACACCCTTGTTTGGAAAGGCTCCTTTTCAGATAATCTCATGGCAGCTCTCTATACTCACTTCCTTAGGTCTCAGAGGAGCCCCAGGATACTCCTTGGATCAAGCACATCATCTTCCTATTGAGATGGACCCATTAATTGGTATGCTAATATATTTGTTATTTTCTATGTCTGTGATGAAATTCATGACCGAAAGCACCCTAGGGAGAAGTTTGTTTTGTCTTGTGGTTCCAGAGGGAGAGTCCCTCATGACTGGGAAGCACTGTAGCAGGAAGCTAAGAGATCACATCCTTGACCAAACACAAAGCAAAAAGAGTGAACAGGAGGTGAGGTGAAGCTATAACTTCTCAAAGCCAGTCCCCAGTGATGTGCGTCCTACAGCAAGGGTTCTAGGGGTCCCACAGCCTTCGCAAGAAGCGCCACCAAATGGGGGCCAAGTGTTCAAATGCCTAAGCCTAGGGCAGTCATTGCTCACTGAATCCACGGCAGCTAACGAAGATGCATTTTAAAATCTCATCTGTCTGCACATTCTCACCTGGTTGTTTGTCTCAAAATACAGCTGAGTGATACATTACAGCATCAACATGGCAATGACAGCTAATTGTCAAAGGGCTTTGCTAGTCTCTGCATGCAATCCAAGAATGCTTTGCTATTAAACCAACTCTTTGTGCCATTTTCTTGATGTTTTAGGAGATATGTAAGTTGAATAGTAAAAGGCAAATAATTACACATTGTCCGTGTTTGAGCCGCAGATATTCTTAACAACCTTATATTATTTAAGGTAAAGAAGTTGGTAAGGTAAATTAATACTGAAAAGCACCTTCTAAAAGAAATTCTAATTGATGGGGCTAAACTTGTTTTTTTTAAAGTAAAGACACCTGAATTGCAAACTCCTGAGCTACAACCATTTACAGTTGTGTGGTCCATAGATATGTTAGCCCTTGTTTTTATATCTGTGAAGTGGTTTGTGGTGATGTCTATTCTCCTGGTTTGTGGGTTTATTTAGAAAATTAAACTAAAAGAAACCTCGAAAAGCTTTAAAAAGTTGCTGAGTTGTGTATAATCAGTGGTATTCTGTTCTTCCGTTGGTTTAGATTTTATTTTGTTCTGACAGGCGGGTCTTGGCTTCCTCTTATTCTCACCCCAACAAGACAGCCTTGCAAAGATGCAAGCTTTTGGACTAGGACAGTTCCTTAGTCTATCCTTGCTGCTTGTCTGTCTTCCAGACACTGACAATGAAATAGGTAGCTAGTGTGTGACCACGGGACAATTACTGACTCTGCTCTCAGTAACCAGACACCCGTTCTGCCCAGGCCTTCCGTCTTGCTTTAGAAACCTATGTTTCTAAATGTCAATTCTCTCTTACTCCTTACCCTTACCAAGCAGTTATTTCAGTTACTTTGCAGCTTTTGTAGATATCTACATATAGAAGCTCGGTGATTTAATTGGCATTAGAGCCTACTGGTGGTGGCCTTCCACACCTGCACTTCCTGTTTAAGAATTCAGGAAGGGATTTTGCCTGAAAGGATGGCGCAGCTTAGGGGACAGGCTGGCATCCAGACAGGCACTGGGGAAATCATAGATGTCTCTGAGTTCCTGGCTATATTCAGATTTACTCCCAGGGCTGCACACTGATTCTTTGCCTGTCTCTCTCTCCCCCAATTGCTTTCCCATCTCTTTTATTGGTCTCCTCCCCTGCCAGCCTTGCTTCAAAGGCCTTGTGTATGTTGACAACCCAGGTCTTTAAAGCTACTGACCTGAAGCTCCCTGTGGGCTTCCCACATCACACCAGCAGCTCTCTGCCAGCTTTTCATGTGGATTGAAATGTGCCGTGGGCAAGTGACAGATGGAGCAAACATTAAGATACTTTTTGATTGTGTACAAGGTTTACCTCCACCTGGTTCTTACTGGACACTAATGAACTGAAGCATATCATGCATGTATAAAACCAAAAGCATCTAAATACTTTTATATGTTTTAAATTACTATCTTGGATCCCTTATCTGTTCTCATTTGTTGATGGAAGAGCTGAGTTTGCTGACATAGTTTTTAAGTATATGATATAGCTTGTGAATAATCATTGTTACTAAAGAAATGTATATTCCTTGAGGGGAAAGTCTAAATCTTAACAATTTTGCACCATTGAAAGTCCATTTCTAGCAGGGAGGTGGTGGGGCAAGCCTTTAATCCCACCTCTCAGGGAAGCAGAGGCAGGCAGATATCTGTGAGTTCAAGGCCAGCCTGGTCTACAGAGTGAATTCTAGGACAACCAGAGATACACAGAAAAACTCTGTCTTGGAAAACCAAAAAAGAAAGAAAGAAAGAAAGAAAGAAAGAAAGAAAGAAAGAAAGAAAGAAAGAAAGAAAGAAAATAAGGGGAAAAAAACAACAACAAAAAACCCTGATCACACAACACACACACACAAAGAAGGTCCATTTCTACATCAGTGAAGCACAAACTTGTTTTCCCTCCCTGAGGGTATGCATGATGAAACTTTTTGGAATCTACCTTCAAATTCTTCTTCTTCTTCTTCTTCTTCTTCTTCTTCTTCTTCTTCCTCTTCCTCTTCCTCCTCTTCCTCTTCCTCTTCCTCTTCCTCTTCTTCCTCTTCTTCCTCCTCCTTTGTGGAGAGTTAGCATGTGATTTATTTATTTTTATTCTTTTTATTTTTAAATTGATTTATTGAACTATACATTTTTTCTCCACTCTCCTCCCCTTCTATCCTCTCCCATGGTCCCCATGCTCCCAATTCACTCAGGAGATCTTGTCTTTTTCTACTTCCCATGTAGATTAGATTCATGTATGTCTCTATTAGGGTTCTCATTGTTGTCTAGGTTCTCTGGAATTGTGATTTGTAGGCTGGTTTGTCTTTGCTTTATGTCTGAAAGCCACTTATGAGTGAGTACATATGATATTTGTCTTTCTGGGTCTGGGTTACCTCACTTATTATGATGTTTTCTAGATCCATCCATTTGCCTACAAATTTCAATATGCCATTATGTTTTTATGCTGGGTAGTACTCCATTGTGTAAATGTACCGTATTTTCCTTATCCATTCTTTGGTCAAGGGGCATTTAGATTGTTTCCAAATTCTGGCTATGACAAACAAAGCTGCTATGAACATAGATGAGCACATGTCCTTGTGGCACAATTGAGCATCCTTTGGATATATACCCAAAAGTGGTGTTCCTGGCTCTTGTAGGTAGGTAGGTTGTTTTTTAATTTTCTGAGAAATCACCATACTGATTTCCAAAGGGTCTGGACCAGCTTGCACTTCCACCAGCAATGCAGGAGGATTCCCTTTACCCCACATTCTCTCCAGCATAAGTCATCATCAGTGTTTTTAATCTTGGCCATTCTGATAGGTGTAAGATGGAATCTCAGAGTTGTTTTGATTTGCCTTTCTCTGATGACTAAAGATGTTGAGCATTTCCTTAAGTGTCTTTCTTTAAAGGTTTATTTATTTATTATGTATACAACCTTCTGCCTCCATGTATGCCCACACGCCAGAGGAGGGCACCAGATCTCATTACAGATGGTTGTGAGCCACCATGTGGTTGCTGGGAATTGAACTCATGACCTCTGGAAGAGCAGACAGTGCTCTTAACCACTGAGCCATCTCTCCAGCCCTCCTTAAGTGTCTTTCAGCGATTTTAGATTCCTCTGTTGAGAGTTCTTTGTTTAGGTTTGCAATAACCCATTTTTTTATTGGATTATTTGTTCTTTTGATGACCAATTTCTGGAGTTCTTAGTATATTTTGGAGGTCAGACCTCTATCTGACGTGGGGTTAGTGAAGATCTTTTTCCCTTTCTGTAGGCTGCTGTTTTGTCTTGTTGACCATGTCCTTTGCTTTACAGAAGCTTCTCAATTTCAGGAGGTTCCATTTATTAATTGTTTCTCTCAGTGTCTGTACTACTGGGGTTATATTTAGGAAGTGGTCTCCTGTGCTAATGCATTCAAGTGTACTTCCCACTTTCTCTTTTATGAGGTTCAGTGTGGCTGGCTTTCTGTTGAGGTCTTTAATCCATTCGTGCTTGAGTTTTGTGCATGACAGTAGATATGGATCCATTTTCATTCTTCTACATGTTGATATCCAGTTATGCCAGCAGCTTTTGTTGAATATGCTTTCTTTTTTCCATTTTATATTTTTTATAGTTTTCAAAAATCAGGTGTTCGTAGGTGTGTGGATTAATATCTGGAACTTTGATTTGGTTCCATTGGTTCTCCTGTCTGTTCTTATGTCAATACCAGGCTGTTTTCTGTACTGTAGCTCTATAGTAGAGTTTGAAGTCAAGAATTGTGATGCCTCCAGAAGTTCCTTTATTGTAAAGGATTGTTTTGGCTATCTTGGGTTTTTTGCTTTTGCATGTGAAGTTAAATATTATTCTTTTGAGGTCTGTGAAGAATTTTGCTGGGATTTTGATGGGCATTGCATTGAATCTGTAGATTGCTTTTGGTAACATTGACATTTTTACTATGTTAATTCTACCTACCCAAGAGCATGGGAGAGATCTTTCCATTTTATGGCGTCTTCTTCGATTTCTTTCTTCAAAGTTCTTGTCATAAAGTCTTCTACTTGTTTGGTTAGAGTTATTCCCAGATATTTTATGTGATTTGTGACTATTGTGAAGGGTGATGTTTCTCTGATTTCTTTCTCAGCCAATTTGTTATCTGTGTAAAGGAGGGCTACTGATCTTTTTTTGAGTTAATCTTGTATCCTTCTCCATTACTGAAGGTGTTTATGAGTTATAGAAGTTCCTTGGTAGAGTTTTTTGGGTCACTTATATAAACTGTCATATCATCAGCAAATAGTGAAAGTCTGACTTCTTTTCCGATTTGTATCCCCTGGATCTCCTTTTGTTGTCTTATTGTTCTAGCTGAAACCTCAAGAACTATATTGAATAGATATGGAGAGAGATGACAACCTTGTATTGTTCCTGAATTCAGTGGGATCACTTTGAGTTTCTCTCCATTTAGTTTGATGTTAGCTGTTGGCTTGCTGTATATTGCCTTTATTATGTTTAGATATATTCCTTGTATCCCTGCTCTCTCCAGGACCTTTATTATAAAGAGGTGTTGTATTTTGTCGAAGGCTTTTTCAGCATCTAATGAGATAATCATATTTTTATAGTTTGTTTATATTGTGGATTACATGGACAGATTTTTATATGTTGAACCATTCCTGCATCTTTGGAATGAAGTCAACTTGACCATGATGGATGTTTTTTCTGATGTGTTCTTGGATTTTGTTTGCTGGTATTTTATTGAGTATTTTTGCATCAATGGTTATGAGTGTGATTAGTCTGTAATTCTCTTTCTTAGAATGTCTTTGTGTGGTTTGGGTAGCAGGGTAATTAAATCAAGACTGGATAAGCAAATTAAATAGACCTATAACTGCTAAAGAAATAGAAACAGTCATCAAAAGTCTCCCAACCAAAAAAAAAAAAAAAAAGAAAAAAGGAAAAAAAAAGCCCAGGACCAGATGGTTTTAATGCAGACTTCTACAAGACTTTCAAAGAACTAGTACTAATACTCCTCAAATTGTTGCACACAATAGAAACAGAAGGAACATGTCAAACTCTTTCTTTTATGTTTATTTTTAGCAAATAATTCTGGTGTGAACAAGCGGCAGATCACAGACCTTGTGGACCAGAGCATCCAGATCAATGCCCACTGCTTTGTGGTCACAGCAGATAATCGCTACATTCTCATCTGCGGGTTTTGGGATAAGAGTTTCAGAGTTTACTCTACAGAAACTGGTAATCTTCACAGCAAGTTTATTCTCAGTGTTCAAGAGATGGTGGAGGCTTGAAGACCTGAATTCTCACTCCAGCACCCACACATAAGCCTGTACTCACCTATCATCCCAGCACTGAGGGGGCGGACACAGGAGGATCCCTGGGCTCTTAACCAGTGGTCTAACTGAATTAGCAAGCTCTAGGTTCAGTGAGAGGCCCTGTCTCCAAACTAAGACAGAAAATGACTGTGGAAAACTTCTGATACCAACCTCTGGCCTCCACTCATGGGTGCACACACATGCCCACACACACACACACACACACCACATGCATTCACAAAGGCTGTATCTTCTCTGATGTGAAGTCATGATAATGTAGAGAGTCCATGCTGTGCCAACTCAGTTACCACACTGTAAGCTAACCAGTTAGCTCTGCTTCAGAAATGAACTACTGCTTGAACTCACACTGACCTGAGTTTATATCTCAGTGATGCTTTTGGCCCCTCCTCGCATTCAAATCCAGGGTAAAAAGTAAAACCCTCCATTGTCAGACCCAAATTCTGGAGAAAAATCTTGATTGTCTCATTTTATAAGACCTTTCCTTAGAAGTTACCCATGAATGGACTTGAATTTCTTACAAATTTGAGAGTCTGTGGCTTCTTTTCACAAATTAATAAAATAAAATTATGTCTATTTCCATAAAGACAATGAGTCTAAATTATGTCATTTTGTGCCGCAGGGAAACTGACGCAGATTGTGTTTGGCCACTGGGATGTGGTCACATGCCTGGCCAGGTCCGAATCCTACATCGGTGGGGACTGCTACATCGTGTCTGGATCTCGGGATGCCACCTTGCTTCTCTGGTATTGGAGTGGGAGGCACCACATCATTGGCGACAACCCCAATAGCAGTAAGTGTTTCCAACAATGGTTCTTTCCGACAGCACGTGACTCAGCCAGTTTTGTTGTTTTCTTCCCTTCATGTTTATGGAATCTGTAAAGAACTGAAAACATGAAAGCTTATGTGAAAAAGCAAGTGTAAACATGAACGACTTCTGTGACTTTGGCCTGAGGGAGGCCCAGGTCTTCTCGTGCTGAAAGCACAATCTCTGCCTTCCTTAAAATTCAGTGAGCTTTTCATTTGTGCCTCAGTCGAGTGGCTCAATACTTTTCTCTACATCAGTGGCCTTGCCTGGGATGGTCTCTCGGGTACTTCTGTTCATCGGTGCCCTGTGTCAGGAGAGATGGCAAGAATGTCCTTTAAGTCCCACACTTCTTCCAGCTTTGTGTGCATTTTATCTGGAATGCTCCAAAACAGGAGATGGCTGTTGATGGACAGGAACTAAGGCCCCTTTCATAGTACAGAAACTGCAGAAATACCTGCATTGAATACGATGGAGTTTGTTCTCAGCCTCCATAGCTGGAGTGCAAAGTGATGCTTACCTCTTTGTGTGGGGAGAGAAAAGTGTGAAAAATGAAGGCCTCTAGCCTACACTATGGAGTGGGGTCTGACAGTTGACTCAAGGTTTTTTTTTTTTAACATGCTAAAAAAATTGTTGCCGATTCTACATTATCAATGAACACTTCCTGATATATTTAAACAAGGCAATATCCTTATGTTCACTTCCAAAATCCCTATCTCATCTGTAGCAGAGTTCTACTGTGTGCTGAGGGAGGGGCCATCACTCCACACACAGAGTGTTGGTATATGTGTTGTATCTAAGCATACTATGTCACGTATCCAAATGTCCTTTATCTCTGTAGTACCATGGCACTCCTAAACATGGCCAAGCATCTTATATATGCATTGACAAAATTATGCAGTATAAGAAAAAGGAATCTCAAAAAGCAACAGAAAAAGTTTTATACCTAATTAACGTCTTCAAAATGAAACTCAGAAGGGATAATCCAAAAAAGGAATTTATAGGGCTATAGAGATGGATCCAAGTTCTTGCAGAGGACCCAAGTCTGATTCCCAGCACCCACCCCTCAGGAGGTTCAGCCACTGTAACTGCAGTGTCATCTTTGAACCTACAAACTTCCATAAAGCACACTCTGCAGTCCTCAATCTGACATGAAATGTGGGCATGGCTGTGTGCTCTTCTAGAAAAAGCAGGAGGAGCAGATACAGTATGGGTAGAGCAGCTGAGAAGTGCTGCTGCCTGCTCTGTCCCTGTATTGTGCGCTAGACAGAGGAAGCCCCAGCCTCCAGGAGTAAGTCCTGCCCCTGAGTGAGTAAGCACACTGAGTGCTTCCGTGACTCGGTAGCTCGGTCAAGTAGTATTACCACCATCAGTACATGGATACATACCCAGAACTTCACATTCTGCCTGTGGACTCATGAGTTGTGTTTAAGGAAGAAAACAAAAACAAAAAACTTTCTGCTTTTTGCCAGATGGATAACCACAAGAATAAAATCCTTAAATTTCATATTTCATTATTTTGATAGTTTTATGCCCTTCTCTACAACAGTCTGTCTCCACAAAATATCTATGCCTGGCTCAAGCAGCTGAGTCAATCTGTGTTTTTAAAGGCAGCCACAGCACTCATTACATAGACTGCCATACCTGTGACAGCTGTGGTACTGCCATAACATGCAGTCATTGTCATCAAAAACTGACGATGTGAAAATACTGTCCAGTTTAATCTAGTCTAGCTACCAAGTCACAAGTCAGAGGACCAGATTGTACATGTTTTCTGTCTCTGAATCATTGCTGTTCAATACCTAAAGGGCACTTATGCTAAACTGGTAACAATGTATGGTATAATGGGTTTGGAGGGTGTATATAATAATCTAGACTTAAGGAAAACCCCAACCTGGGACACTGTTGCCCAGTAGCTGCTATAATCTGGGAATTAACCTACCATAGACATTGAATCATTTTGTATGGTGTAGAGACCAAACCAGACTCGTTGATCAAACCAGCAGCTTGGAATGAAGATTTGTGTCTGATTTTATGTGAGTATCGCTGGAATCTAACCATGAGGGCAAAGGGCCTTAATATACTTGTTTCTTCTGTGCTGTCAGCACTACATAATAATGGATGCCTTTATTCTACAAAGAAAAATAAGTAATGTTTAGATTTTTAGGCAGCTATAGAAAGGTTAGTTTCGTTATGTCAAGTTATGTCAAATAAATTGTCGTAACTGATTTACACATCTCAGAAGTCTCATGCTGTCTCTTTTTCCTTTATTTCAATGGCTGTGTCACAAAGACAATAGAAATTTGCAAACAGATTATGATACAGAATTCCAGACTATAAATGCTACCTGCTCGTACTAGTCGGATGGTCCTGTTCATTAATGCTTTTTATACTCATGATGCTATTGTTATTCTTTCGTGTGGCATTGAACATAGAAAATTATCCTGGAGATTTACAATAGGTCCCTGGCTAGATAACAGACTTGCAAAGACATGAGGGACAGGTGCTTTCATCTGAAACAGCCTTACACAAATTCTGAAACTAATTTGGAAGTGATAAAAATTAATTTGCGCACTTTAATTGGAAGCAGCCTCCTGCATGAAAGAACGCAGAACAGGGCAGGCAATTTGTGCTAGGAGCTGATTGAATTTTTTGTCAGGTAGGTGTCTTGGACTTGGCCGCTTATCCTCTAGAGCCCTTCTTTGCAATATATTACAGCCCATCTCTGACTGGTGAGCTTTAACCAGATCAATGCTATTCCTGTGGAATCCCCAGGGCACGAGTTTCATTGATCTTGGGACTTGACAGCTCTCATTACGTGCTGTAGCTTCCAACAAGATAGTCACAAGAGGAGCGAGTTAACATCATTGTGTCTTCAGTAAACCCCGAAAATGCATTAGGACCTTAGCTCAAGACCAATCTGCTTTAAAGAATGTAATTTAAATGTTTATTTTGAGTGATACATACATATGAAAGTTTTAAAACCATGCAATATAAAACCTTGAAAAGGGATTTAGTGCTCATCTTTCAAATCAAATCCACCAATACCCACTGAGTAATATGTGTGAAAAAGTTACATGCTGCTCTGATCCACTTTCTAAACCCAGGTCTCTTTGCGCATGTGTAAACACTGAGCAGACTGTGAAAGGAGAGGACTGAAATGATGGATCCAGCTGTGCACACACCGTCTCTGCACACACACCTTCTCTGCGCACACACCTTCTCTGCACACACACCTCTGCACACACACCTTCTCTGCATACACACCTCTGCACACACACCTCTGCACACACACCTTCTCTGCACACACCTCCTCTGCGTACACACCTCTGCACACACACCTTCTCTGCACACACACCTTCTCTGCACACACCTTCTCTGCACACACACCTTCTCTGCACACACACCTTCTTTGGCCACCCATTATGGTGAAGTCAGCCGTAGACACTGACCTTCCTATCAGCTGCAGCCTTCAGCCAAACACCGACCAAACTGAGTTCAGCTCTTTGTCTGCCACTAGCCTTTTATCCAGAGACAATCCTAGAACTAGTCCCTCAGCCACCACTGATCCACAGTGTGATAAAAGCTTGGGCATGGACGACACTGGCACAGAGGCAATCTTTAATTAAATTAATACACACACACACACATATATTATATATATAATGGCCTTGTAAAGAATCGGGTACAAATTATTTTCATTCATGCATACACTTACAAAAATATGATGCGATTTTAATTTGAAGTTTCAAAATCAAACATCAAATGTTTTAGTGTGTGTGTATATATAAGTATATATATATATATATATATATATATATATATATATATATATATGAAACTAGTTGAGTCATTTCTCAGTCCAAGGATCTTACCTATGGTGTAGTAAATGTTAGCATGTTCTTTTATTAGGTGTCAGAGGAAGAGGAAGCATGGGCAGCTGGGGATACTTCTCAGTCACAGGACATTCTGATGCCTCATGGGCCATGCCCATAATGGATCATCCTAGCTTAGCACAGGGAGGGATGAAACTATTCTGCATAGTGTCCCATATCATCTCTGGAGACATTTTTGGGTTGGTGACAGGAGTGAGACTGCTTTCCTCTTGTCCTCTGTTTGTCTTCTCCCTTTGTAGTCCTGAGACTTTCAGAAAGATGTTTAGCCTGTGTTGGATATAACATGAATATCAAGAGTGACTAATATGTTCTCTGACTAGACAACTTTGGCTCACAGACTCGGGTATCTGAGCATCTTGTGGCTGTTGTGTAGAAAAGGAGGGACCAGGAAGTCCTAGACCCCTGTGAGGGTGTGGTTAAAGATATCCCATCATGGGCCTCTGGTGTGATCCAACCTATCAGCCACTGTTCTTAGCTATTCGAGAAAGTTTCTGGTAAATATTTGAAATCACTGTGTCAATGAAATTACTATAACATTTGATGTTTGATTTTATAACTTTAAATTAAAAACCCATCATGTTGTTAGTGTACGCATGAATGAAAATAGTTTGTGCCTCGATTCTGTACAAGGCCATAAGTAAAATCTGACCTGTGTGTGTCACTGAGAGGCTCATCCTCTGATACTCACAGACCAGCCCTGAGGACGCTGGGTCCCACAGCCTCAGCACTCATTCCTAGCTGGTTTAGAAGGGTGGAAGTCCCCTTATTTCCATAAGAACCATGAGCAGTCTTTGTTTTGACCATTTCTTAAAGCTACAGACCATCTTAATGAGACCACTCCTGCCACGTCTGTGTGCAGCATTGACAGCCTTTTTAGGTTTTCATCTGTTTCAAGGATACTGAAATGACTTTTAATAAAGGTGAGATGAACTCTGTATTTTAAGCCTTTTCTGTTTAGAATTCCCGGTGCTTGCCTGTGAGGACCAGATGCATTTGTTCCTTATCATCCACAGCACTGGAGTGAGGCAAGATGAGGTTTCCTCATCCTTGAGGAAATGAGCGGGGAAGGGGTGAAGTGCCGCGGTCCTTGGAGAGGAGGTCTCACCTGCACCTCCCTCTGTGCCAGGCCCTTTAACCCTGAGCTCCATCCATCAGCTGTGATGTGACAGTGACAGGATATTACCAAGATCTCGAGTGACTGTTGGGGTGTGTGACATCTGTCCCTGGTGATGAAATGTAGGAAAGGCACTTGTCCTTGCTGCAGATTTTCCCACTCGCAAAGCTTTGAAGAACATTTTCTTTACTTTACAGCTGAGCCTAGAGCAGTTTGAAAAGAGCAGTGCTTCCAGGACCCAAGCAGCAACACATAGAAAGAGGTTCCACCCTCCATGATCTGAGGAGATCATAATGGAAAGCAGCTAGACAGGTCTTCAAGGAGCTTTCTTCCTCGTGGAAAATATGTCACAGAAGGAATTTAAACTGGTCTTGTACATTTTTCTTAATTCTTTATCCTTTTTTCATAGCATATTAGGGAAATAACAATTTATTAGAGCTTTAATTTCAGGATTTTTCTCCAAAATAATCACAGAGACTGAAAATATGTCTAGGAGAGAAGCCTAAGTGGGTGAGTGTGAAGCTCAAGTGTGAGGGAGTCTGCGCGTGGATTCCCCAGCACACCCTTGAGCACTTATCCCCGTCACTGGTAGTCACTGGCCAGCCATTCTAGCCAAAACAGCAAGGTCCAGGTTCACTGAAACACCCTGTCTCAAAAATGAGGTTAAGAAGCAATAAAAGACACTGGATCTCAACCTCTGGCCCACAAGGGTGTACCCACACATCTTATTAATGCCCAATTCTCACTTTAAACAGAAACTCAAGATATCTTAGAAGCACAGTTTTTCAGCTTTGTGAATATGTTTCAGATAAACTCAAGACCGACAGAGATTGTACCGTTATTCAAAGCCCATTACAACAGTTTGCGTAGACTTCGAGCTGATGGCAAACTGCTGTGGGCTGCAGTGCTCGTTCTCCCAGTCCGCGTTTGGAAATGCTTCAAAAGGAGAATTCACGTTGACGCATCTGAGAGAACTCTCCCAACATGAGAATCTCTAGAGAAGCAGAAAATAGGAAGCCCTCCCGAGTCACATTAGTGCAGAAGGGACAGCTAGGCAGCAGGTGCACATGCCAGCCCTTGAGCCTGCAAGTCTCCACACCTGTGCCTGTACAGTGAGTGCCAGGTCTCAGGCCAGGACGTGGTTCTTGGAAAGAGGAGTGCTAAGACCTGAGGCCCAAACCTAGGGCCCTTCTCTGAAATACAAGATGACGGCATGCAGAGGTACCCATCCAGAAAGAATTCACAGAAAAAAAAAGCAGACAAAAAACTCAAAAAACTTCCACAGCTGAGCAGTCTACTCCACAAAAATAAACAGCAAACAGAAGAGAAAACTTTAAAAATATGTGATGCTCTTTAAGGTGTAAAAAGGGCATACTAACAGTTCTACATTTCTTATGCAGGGTTCAGAACAAAGGAATTCATTTTATTTTTTAAATCTTAAACATATAAATACTTAATGTGTAATAAATATTTTAAAAATTCCCTAATTCCAGAAACAAAGGCAAGTCTGGCTGCTATGCTGGAAGACCAACTTGGTTCTTTTTAAAGAGAACAAAATTGTCATCCACATCACAAAGAAAGGAAGTGGAGGGTGATTCTCTTATCCTGCAAATGTGTTCTTGGACTCCTCAGCCCTAGCGAGAGAAAAACAGTCTTGCTCACAATTAATCTTAGAGCAACTTTGCACAGGAAAAAAGTTCACAATATAGTTATGACCAGAGGGATTACATCTGTGTAACTACTTGAGAGAAGTTATAGTCTCATCAGAATGAATGAAATTTAGCACAAAAAATCGTACAATTTTCTGTCCTCAAGAAAGTATCTACTGATCTCTTAGAACATGAATTTTCTAGAATTGTGAAAGAGTTGGATGCTGTTATGATACCCAGGCTACAGTGTGGATCTTCAAGGTGCAATAGCAATTGGCTATGAAACTGGTGACTTAAAATGGAGTAATTGGTTCAGATACACACACAAAGGTGGCTTTCTGTATACATACTCTTTCCTAAAAGAAAAGAATCAATGACATGAACCAATGGCATTGACCATATGAGTTTAGTATAACTACTTTAGCAACAAAAGCAAGATGAGACATAGGTGAATAACAAGTGTGTTGTTCATGGAAACCGGGTGTTATAAGCTCTCATTAATATTGCTACCAAATGCTACATATCCTCACTTTCCTTAACTCTGGCCTCAGCCCCTTGCTGACAGAAGGCAGCTAGGCAGGTGGAGAGTGCATGCAGAGACGAGGGCATCAGTGGAAGACGACTCAGCCTGACTTCCTAGCTAGTTTTGTTCCTAAGAAGGGGAAAATTCAGACACTTGTCTTTCCTTTGCAACTTTGCCCATACCCCCTCCTGCTTCTGCTCACCTCTGCCTGTTTGGGTGGAGGTGTAGGGGCTGTTTCTAAGTGAGTGTGAGAGCATGAGATGCAGACACGGAAGCTCCTGTCCAATCCAGCTCTTGTCACAGTAGGCACTCTGGAAGTGGCTCAGTGGCCACCGGAGCCTTGTGGGACAGACTGAAACAGGGCAGTTCCTTAAACCTCCTCCACTTGTGACCCCTTTGCACTCATGGCATTTTTATACAACCGTAGTTATACAGGCAGAGAAAGAGGTATACAAATCAAACATTTACCCATAGCAAATCATAGATGTTTCTATTAAAACGGTTCTTTGGTATACTTTTAATTTCACCATTTATTAAAGGAGGAAGCCAAGTGTCATTGGGCTGCTGGTTCGTTTTAACATGAAGAACTAACTCTTGGTTGAGCCCTGGACACTGGAGGATGTAGAACATTGTGTCCATTTTTCAGACTCCATGGACATTCTGACTTTATTGTTCTCAATGCTGAGAATCCCACTTTATGTAAATCTGTATTACAAGATGGCAGCAGCTTGTGTAGTTCCTTTCAAAAATGGTTGGAAATTCCATCTTAATCCCAAGTCAGAGTTTGCTTAATGAATTCTAATAAAAGTCACATTAATCACTTTAAAAGTCACACAGTCTGCTGCAGCCCAATATAAATGTGTATTAAGTTGGTACATGCTGAAGATGACAGTAGGAATAGGTAACGGAACCATCATGTGTCTATAATAGCAGGAAAACATGTGTGCTGAAAGAACTCCAGTCCCTAACCTGTGCTCATCTGGAATCTGAACCAGTTGCTGCGTCATGGGATTTTGAGTTAATTTTGGTCACTGTACATCAGGAACCATTTACTGTTGCCCAGTGCTCTGTGTCTCCCATGTTCATATTTAAGCTGGAACTAGAGACAGTGAGATGACCTCGCAGGACATTGCCATGACTACATAATCCCACTCATAATTGATGAGTGAGAGAATAGCCACTGACACGTCTGAGCATGCACATGGATTCATGTCCTAGCTGTCCCAGCCGCCCTGTTGCAGGATAGTACTTATGCCATGTCACACACGAGGGACAGGCAGAAAGGTAAAGTGAGTGGCTCTGGCCATCCATACCGCTAGGAAATGTCCTTCTCATCATGTCTGTTCTGGTCTCCAGTGATGCCCTGCTGCTGCTTCTTTGTAGGTGACTATCCTGCGCCCAGAGCTGTCCTCACAGGCCATGACCATGAAGTCGTCTGTGTCTCCGTCTGCGCGGAACTCGGCCTCGTTATCAGTGGTGCTAAAGGTCGGAAACCATTTCCTTCATGTTCCACCTCTAGACAGTGGGCGTTTTCTAGCTAACTGTGGCTCTTGTTGATTTCTTCCAGAGATTCAACACAGACAGATGTAGCATCTGGGTTCTCTGCAGTTGCTTAGTTTTATCAAATATTAGTAATGTTTACCGGCATTGACTTATAAAATACGGTTAAAAGTTTACAGTGTGGTCACCAACATTCTAACCCAGACACTGATAAATTAAATTTGCAGTGAATCTATATGATGCAGCCATGAAAAGGCACATTCAAAAGGCAAAGGAGGCATATCACTAATGCCCTGGGAGCTTGGATCGAGTTACTCACTAGACTGGCCTTAGTACCTTCACATCCTTACAGATTCTTTCTATGCAAAACTGACTGTGCAAGGCGAGAGGGAAAGGAGACACAGTCTGTTTCTTTGCCTTTGTGGGAGAATTGTCATCTAAAGAGGAAATTTAGGTGGTTCTTGGCTTTTCTGACAGGGATTACACACCTCTGTGGGAACTCTCCAGGCAGAAAGACCATAAGGGCGAGAGTGGAAGAGGCTAGCAAAGCTGAGCAGAGGCCTAGAGCCCAAGAGGTGGAAGGGCTTAGCATTGATATTTTCAGTGAGAATTCCTTGAAGTTTTTTTTAGGGGGGGGGGGGGGGGAGTGCTATTTTATATTCATTTTTATCAAGGTCTAAGACTCTAGATGATCAGATATTGTTGTCAAAGATTGTTCAGCAGCATGATGGAATATGAACAGTCTAAGAACAAGAGACCATTTGCTTTGCATTTCAGAACAAGTGAGCCTAGCTCTGTGGGTGTAAGCAAAACACTGTTTTCCTACAAGTGGTGATGGCAAAGGGATTTCCCACAAGTCTCTATAGCTTTCTCCTTTTTAGTCAGGGGAGAAATTAACAGGGGAGAGAGTTTGATATTGACACCTTTTTGTGTGTGTAAAAATGTGGCTGTTCAAATCAATTGACCAATAAGAAAGTAACCACAGTTTTTGCAGGCTTTAGTTTTTGAGAGCAAAGAGGCGGGCATATAGTATGAAGTTACAGCATTTGTTTTCATGATTAGGTCAGTGGAAACTTAATATATTTTCTTAATATATTTTCCAAGGCCATAAAATTGGCCTGAAATTAGATAAGCCTTTCTTTATACCCTTTACACTTTTGCCCCACTGTTAATATTAAAAGGCAAAATGTATTTCTGTAATCTGAATTAATTATTTAACTTCTTAATTATACATTTACACCTTACATATAAACTACCAACGCAAAGTTCGCCTGGCAATGACATGTCTGTACTGTGAAGCTGAAATCTGATGCAGCTGGAAAGTGTAGCAACAACTCTGATCACTTTCTTAATGAGAACCTTTTAGAAACCGCAGAGCAAACTCCTTGCGCACACTCTTTGCTCATTTGACTTGGGAACTAAAGCCTGTGGTGATGACTGTTGTTGGAGGTGGGAGAAGAGATTAGAGCTTTAGAGAACTCTGGGTGCTGCATCACGTGTGTGTTTGTGTGTGTGAGTATAGGTGGGTGACGTGGGTGTGCATAAGTGTTAGAACCACTGCACACTTCTGTTGTCTTCATCTACTTTAACAAACCCCAGTGTCTAGGTGTTGTTTGGGGTTTGTGGTCCTGGTATTTTCTGTAATTGGCCTGGCCCCTGTGTTCCTCACTACAGAAGGCCCTTGCCTTGTCCATACCATCACTGGAGACCTTCTGAGGGCCCTAGAAGGGCCAGAAAACTGCTTGTTCCCACGCTTGATTTCTGTATCCAGTGAAGGCCACTGCATCATATACTATGAGCGAGGACGGTTTAGCAACTTCAGCATCAATGGAAAACTTTTGGCTCAAATGGAGATCAATGATTCCACTCGGGTGAGTACCCATCAGTGTTGAGCAGCAAGAAGCCACGGGAATCAAACTTGCTTGACATAAAATTGGCTTGGCGTAGAGCTTCCCCAACATCCACATAAACACATGCTGGGCTTGAAAGCAAGCAAACTCAAGGTTATGGTTTGAACAAACCCAAGATCCCTCGATCCTGACTAAGCAGCTCAGTAAGTGAGACTCTAGAGACCACAGCTGTTTGCCTAGAGGCGGTCATTCCAAGCCACTTTACAGACAGTGATCTCAGCTCCACGTTCCCATGCTGTCCTAGTTAGGGTTTTTATTGCTGATAAAACACCATGCTCAAAAGCAACTTGGAAGAGAAAGGGTTTATTTCAGCTTGATCACACTCCACCATGAAGGGAAGTCAGGAACTTAAGGCAGAAACCTCTAAGTAGGAACTGAATCAGAGACCAAGGAGGAACACTGCTTACTGACTTGTTCCTCATGGCTTGCTTATACAAGTTAGGACTACCTGCCCAGGGGTGGCACCATGTATAGTGGCTTGGCCCTCCCACCTCAATGACTAATTAAGAAAATACCCTACAAGCTTACCTACAGCCCAGTCTTATGGAGGCATTTTTTTCAATTAGGATTCCTCCTTCCCAGATCTAGGGTTCTGCCAAGTAGACAGAAAATGACCAGGACACCTGGCTCTATAAAACAAAGAGGCCTATCCTGAGAACCCTGACTATAGCTTCAAGTTCCCTATTGCCCACATTTACAAATGAAGTACAATGCCTGGTGTGTCAGTACTAAAAACTATTGTAAAATGTATTTCTGCTCTTTATACTAAGTCTCCATTAGCAATGTTAAGAGTTTCACAAAATGCAATGTTCTCACAGATTGAGAACATCTCACAATGTTCTTTCTAATCTACCTAGATTAGATCGGTAGCAGAAAATGACCAGGACACCTGGCTCTATAAAACAAAGAGGCCTATCCTGAGAACCCTGACTATAGCTTCAAGTTCCCTATTGCCCACATTTACAAATGAAGTACAATGCCTGGTGTGTCAGTACTAAAAACTATTGTAAAATGTATTTCTGCTCTTTATACTAAGTCTCCATTAGCAATGTTAAGAGTTTCACAAAATGCAATGTTCTCACAGATTGAGAACATCTCACAATGTTCTTTCTAATCTACCTAGATTAGATCGGTAGCATTCTATGAAAGTCCCATTCTCATTGGGACTTTCATAATTTTATAACTAAATTAGTAAATTTTTATTTTAATTATGCTATATTTGGGGAGCAGGGAGTATGCACACTTGAATTCAGAGACCAGAAGAGGGCATCAGATCCCCTGGATCTTGAATTACAGGTGATTGTGAGCCATGGCTGCTGGGAACCAAACTTGTGTCCTCTAGAAGAACAGGAAGCATTCTTAAACACTAAGTCACCTCTTTAGCCCCTTAAAAATTTTATTCTTTTCAGTTGACTTTAATAAGATCCTATGTCTTTGTGAAAATAACAACAACAAAAAACCTTGATAGATTCCATATTGAAAGTTCTGTGGATTGGATCTAGGTAACTTAGACATCTGGCTAAATAAAATGTTAAGGAGATTGACAGTACTTTCCAGGTAGTTGTTTGGTGGTCTTTTGGTTTCTTGGTAGACTGTTCATTGGTTTGTGATTAGTGGATGATTGGTGATTGGATGGCTAGTGGCTGGTGGGTGATTGGTGTTTGAATGGTTAGTAACTGGTAGGTGGTTGATTTGTGGTTGGTTGACTGGTAATTAGTTGGCTGGTGGTTGATGGATGATTGATGATTGGTTAGTGATTGGTTAGTGGTTGGTGAGTGATTGGTCGTTGGTTGGTTGGTTGATTAGTAGTTGGATGTGGATTGGTGAGTTGTTGCCCGGTTGTTTAGTGGTTGGTTGGCTCTTTCATAGTTGGTTACCTGGTGCTTGTTTGGTTGGTGAGTGGGTGTTGATTGGCTGGTAGTTGGTTGGGTATTGGTGGTTGTTTGGATGGTTGATTAAGCTTGCATATACTAGGGAAGTTGTGTGACTGTTCAGCTAATTGCTGCTCAATCATGGCCATTCACCAGAAACAAATTTATCATTGATCTCTGCCTTTTTTTCTGAAGGCTATTCTCCTGAGCAGCGATGGACAGAACTTGGTGACTGGAGGGGACAATGGTGTGGTGGAGGTCTGGCAGGCCTGTGACTTCAAGCAGCTGTACATTTACCCCGGATGTGATGCTGGCATTAGAGCAATGGACTTATCCCATGACCAAAGGTGAGCCATGTCAGGGCAGTGTGATCACTGGAACAGGTTGGAAGCATGGCATTCTCCTCATCCCATCCAAGTTAAGGATTGAGCAGCACAGAAAGGGCAAAGTGGAGATGAGTAAGAACCCAAGGAAGCCCCAACTTTTCTACTAAAGGAAAAGTTTCTTGGAAAATATTGGCTTTGAAATATTTTAAGTATTAACACATATAATAAATAAATGAAGCACTTTTACAGTATAATAAAATGGTACAGAGGACATCAAGAAAAGCAGAGTGAAGATCCAATTAGTAAACTGTTTGCGTGTAGGTATGAGTACTCAAGTTTAAATGTCAGAACTACATAAAGAAGCCAGACATGGTGTGTACACTGTAACCTTAGCCCTGGAGAGATGGGACATGATGATCCCTGGGGTTTGTGAGCCAGCCTATCCTTGTCCATGGGCTCCAGGACAGAGAGAGAGAGAGACAGAGAATGTCTGAGGCATGTAGCCAAAGTAGTTTTCTGACCTACAGACACACACATACACACACACACACACATACACATACACACACACATACACATACACACACATACACACACACATACACATACACAAGAAAAAGACAGTGTGACTTGATGGAGTCTGAGGAATAAAAATTTTTAAGGGAAGCTTATTGTTACTATTGAAGTAGACTAGTAAATAGGTGTGACTTACTTCCTAATTTTTTGTGTATACATGAGTGTATTTTTAGTGTGTTTTAAACATCTTCTCAAGTAGATTAAATATTTGTCCTTCAATTGATTCACATGCTTTTTTGCATATATCTGTTACCAGTATTTAGCAGAAGTGTCCTGCCAAATGCTAAGGGTACATGATAAGGTGACCCATTCCATGACTGTAATCTAATTGAATGGCAGGGGAGCAGGACCAGACCCTGGGAGGAAATGATTGGCGATGTGGGAAGCTGAGGAGGAGCCATTTGTCAGGCTGGGTCAGAGTGGGCATCAGCGAACACGTGTAGAGCAACAGTAGTGCAGGAAAGGTTCCATTTTAATCTCATTCTTAATTTAGATTATATGTACGGTGCAACGCAGTGCTACGTTGGGACAGTTCATACACAGAAAGTATAACTGGTAGACACCTATTGGGGAAGTATGTTCAGGACACACTTGTCTGAAGATGGTCTGGACTAACAGCTAAGCACGCTGCTCCATCACGGCAGATTGTCAGGAGACTTGTATGTAGTCAGTTGTAGTGAGCCATCCCAGAGAAAGGAGCCTTTGTTTAGGAGGCTCAAGTAAGAGGGGACAGAGATTATCTCACCTGTACGTTGACTACAATGACTCAGGATGGATGCACTAAGTCCGGAGGTTTTGATGATACCGCCTGCTGTGTACAGTGGCTAAGCTATCTGTGGGACAAAATGAAATTGGTACCTGAGGATTCAGGAAAACTGGCGGCTCATATATCCACCCCCCAGGGATATGGCAAGTAGGTAAGGGATGGAGTGGTTAAAGACACTGAGAAATAAAGGCCAGAATTGTACAGAAAGCCCGGGCCTGGTCCCAGAGGAGGATATGGATAGACCATACATACAACTTCTGGAGGCAGCAGAGCCCACGTCACACTAGAATGTGTGGTTGTATGGGCCTGACTAATGTTCTCTAGCAGGACTCTCCACTAGCTGAGCAGCTCTTGGCAGAATAAAGAAGAAATGCTAGACCTCTTTCAGTTAAGACGTGGGGACTTTTGAGATAAGGCCGGTGTCCAGTAGAAAGTGGCAAGTGTGTATTATTTTCCTGTCTCTCTTCACCGCCATCTCTGCTCTTACAGGACTCTGATCACTGGCATGGCTTCCGGCAGCATTGTAGCTTTTAATATAGATTTTAATCGGTGGCATTATGAGCATCAGAACAGGTACTGAAGAGAAGCTGCAGAGGCCACGTTCACGTGAGAGCACAAGTTGCTCTGTGGAAAGGCGGTATCTCTGGTGGGGACACTCGTCCACATCGGCTCTGTACATCCATCCCACCCAGCAGTCGCCGAACATCATAGTCAGGAGCCATTTCATCCTGTTTTTCCAGGACTGAACACCATCTGCTGTCAAGCAAGCTCATATCATGTAAATTATCTGAATTAGGAGACGTTTTGGTAATTATTTCATATATTGTCGTTTATTGAGAAAGGTTGTAGGAAGCCTCACAAGAGACTTTTGACAATTCTGAGGAACCTTGTGTCCAGTTGTTACAAGGTTTAAGCTCTGAACCTAACCTGCATCCCATTTCCAGCCTCTTTTCAAGCTGAGAAAAACAAAACCCACGTTTGATACTTTGTACATCATATGCATCTTATTTAAAGGGATACTTTTGTAAAAGTGAAACCTTGTATAAAGAAAGAGCGGCCTTTGTTAATTTACTGTGGAGTTAGAACCCGCATGCTCCCTACTCCCCCGAGTTTTGATGGAACTGGTGCATTCAAGCTAGAGAATGGAAAGGACGCAGCTTGTTCAAAAGGGTTGAATTTGGGCTCAATCAATAATTTTGACATTTTCACCAAAATATGATTTGCTTTTTAATCTAAATCCATCCCTTCTAAGTAAAGTTTGCTCATATAGCATTTGGATACTAAGCCATTATTTGCCATTGTTGGTACTTGATACAAAGAAAATTCAGCCCTACCCTTTAGGACCTGAAGATGCAACAGGAAGGGAGCCTGGCGATGAGGGCCTGGTTTCTACTGTGGAAATGGGAGTCATGATCATTAGTCCCAATGCATCAACTTCCCAGCACCTGGACATCTCTCCCCTGGTGTCAGCCACTGGCCCTGTCTCCATGTTGGGAGAGGATGAGGATGCTAACATTTCCCTCCTTGGTTCTCAAATAGCTTAGTTTAATAATTAATGAGTCAGACTTTATTACAACAATAACTGAACTTGTCCCTTTCGTTTCTTGTGAGATTCTCACCTAAAACCACAAGCCTAGCCTAAGGCGCTTCATCTTTTACAGTATAGAATGATGGCTCTCAAATTATTTTTCCATCCATCGTCCCGATCCAGCTATCACCCAGGGGTCTATACATTTTCTTCATGTTTCTTCTTTGTATATTTGGTGACTGTATTGTCATAGGTGTACATATCGTGTTGGTAGGGCTATGAGGCATGTTACAGGAATGTAATTTTCTCAGAATTTCACTCACTTGCAGCCATTGATTTCAAAAGATAAAGCAGGATAATGGGTTCTTTGTATTGGCACTTTGCACCAGACACATATCATTATTTATTGCTGTGATTACTTATTTGTCATCCACCTTGTACTAGAACGTTTTAGCACTGAATTATTCCTTCTTCATTGTTGTTTGTATTTATGAAATTCTGGAATTATGGGAAATCAGTGTACTGACTACGTTATCATCACCAGGCTGTGAGCAATATCTTGAGTTTGTAGCTTAGAATTGGGAAGGCACTGAACATCTGGAAGACAAGGTCATTTCATCTTGAGATCATGGTGAAATATTTTGGATATATAAATTCCTTAAGCTATTGTAACCATGTTTTATTGCAAAGATGTAAAATATGCCAGATGTGTGTGAGTTGGAAATCAAAAAAAGAAAAATAAAATATGCAAAGAATTCATATTGCTTCACATGTCACTGGATAGCTCAGTGACAACATTCCTTACACTGGCCCTTGAATTTGAGAAATGAGCGTTGCCTCATGTGAGGGCCTCACATGCAGAACCATGACTAGAGCCCTAACAAAGCAAGCAGTCTGGTCCATTGCCAGGAATGTGGGCACTGGGACCACAGGGACAGGAACCAGTGATAAAGAACATAGCTTCGTGAATGAGTATGATCAGATAATGACATTTTTATCTTAAAAAAAAAAAACACACCTTGTTGAGTTCTTCATCAAGCCAGATAACTCAGGCAGGGACTGAGGTCTGGAGGAGCTGAGCAACCGCTCGCCAAAGCAAGGTAAGGCTGCCATCGGCATTCCTGTAATGGAAAGGATAGGGTAATGGAACCCCAAGAAGGACTGGCCCTCTCTCCATCCTTCTCCAAAGCCAGAAACTTGTCAGCTATCACAGGCTCCGGAGCTCCTTTAGCCCAGCCCATGTGGTAACTGTCAGTTATTCCAGTAAGTCAATCACTGCCTAAAACACCTGGAAACCGCACTCTCCTTCCCAGCATGGTCACCCGAAACTGCTAATTGATGCTGGTCTCTAATCTGACTTGTCTGTGCTGTCCTCTGCTCCGCCTCCTTCAGAACCCTCTCTAAAGTATTGGGAAGAGGATTGTTAAACTTAAGAAAAGCATCCAGGTGCCTTAAAAAGCATGACATAGGGTCTCAGCCCCCACATGATCAGATATGTCTTGCCCTTGATTAATTAATGTCCAGGCCCTGAGTCCTTCAGAGGGACACAGTTGGCTCAGACACACATGTGCATATGTGTGCACACTCACTCTCTCTCTTTTTCCCTCCCCCATCTCTGTTTCTACTTTTCTGTGTGTGTATGTGCATGTGCATGCATACACAAGCTTGGCCACACCTTTGGCCATTCTGTCCACTTGCAGAGCTGAGGACGTAGCACAGTTGTTCGAGCGCCCTGTATTCATGCACAAGAGCCTGGGTTCAATCCCCAGCATGGAATAAACCAGGTGCAATTAATTCCAGGTCATCTGTAATGCTAGTTCTCAGGAGGTCCTGGCAGGAGGATCAGAAGTTCAAGATCATCTTCAGCAACACAGCAAGTTCAAGGGCAGGCTATGCTGCCTGAGGAACTGTCTCAAACCAAAAACAAGCTTCGCATTTGCAACCTCTGAGAAGCCCAGCACCCTTGTCCCCAGGGTTCCTCCTCCCCGGAATGCCCAGGCTGCTCCCATCAGCCCATCCCACACCTCATTAAATTGATTTCAACTCGCTGGTCATGCACAGTCTCGTTTGACAGGCAAAGGTACCCCAAACCCATTCCCATGCAACATTATAATAAAAACAACTTAATTACACAAACTTTAACAAACAGATTCAGCTCTTCTTTGAGGTCAGTGAAGTCAGAGTGCCATTTTAGGTAGTGTGACAACTATTTGTACGAAAGAAACAGCAAAAACAGATGCCCCTGTGTTATAGAAACTGAGTTCTGTAAGCCTAATAACAGCATCTAGAATTGTCTCACCCACTTGTTTAGGTACCACCATGCTAAGAAAGGCCTCAAAAGAATCGTATGCCCTGATTAGGAAGAGAGGTAGGATAAGACTGAGTAAGTGAATTTATTTATAATCAGCACCCTAAATGTCACTCAGTGAAAGGCCATTTCTACTGTCTTCTGTCCTTATTTGCAAACTAATTACCCCGCCCTCAAAAAGCCATCTTTAGGATATCATACCCTTAGCATGATGTTTCTGCCCTTCCTGGAGTTGAGTTTGGGATGACAGCTCTTGGATACACAAATCATCTGCAGTGTGAGTACTGACTGTCCCTGGGATGCAATATAAACCAGCACAAGCTTATCTGTACAGGAAATTGCATGGTGGTCACTTGTGGGGTGGTCCTGCGTTGCTTTACCAATACTCCAGTGTGTCCCTGTCATAAAACTCTGCTGGAAACTGTTGTAACACACTTGACACTTGGCTCCTTCCTGGGGCCATAGGCTTCTGGGGCATTGGGATTCTAATCTTACAGCCCCAGGGCAGTATTTGGGATTGGACAAATTTCTCAGCAATGCACTGACAGATGTGATAGCTGAAAAGAAACAGGTGATTTCAGAGCCCCAGGCAAAAATGACAAAGTTCAGTGGGATGATCAGGAGCCCACAAACTTTCTATAGCCCAGCACCCCAGCCTCTCATGGCCTTCTCCCACTATGCACTGTGGTACCCAAAAGCCTGATGCTCTGTTACCATGCAAATCCTGGACTCTTTACCCATCTCAAAAATACCACTGTTGAGGTGTACTGATTACTGCTTTTAAACAGAGTCTGCACAGTCGTTGGAAGAAGACGGTATGGATGGATGATTTGGATGAGAGCTTCTTTGATTGGGATGTAAAAGCAGAATCCAAAACCTGGAGGACTTCCTTTGTAAATAACTCATTACTTCCCTCATCAGTTAGGATGGGGGCATAATGATAGCTCTGGCAAGGATTACATTAAGCATCAAAACACAGTGTGTGCCCAGGTAGAGTCTCTGGCTCCAAGGCACTCCACCCCACCCCACAGTGTCTTTTCATTGTCCAACATCCTTTCCTTGTCTTAACTGCTGTGTTTTCAATGGGCGCAGTGAGCTTGATGATGTTCTCAGGCTTTGCGGCCTCGGGGTGCCATGCTGATGTCAGTGTTCCTATCAAGACATCTATGGAGACTTCCAGTCGCAGCATTTAGTCTCAGGGATGGACGTCTTAAACTCAGGCCTTGCCAACCAGGACACTCTGTTCCTGCTACCTTGGTGATAACATCTCTGGCTAAAGGTGGTATATGGCCTGAGAGGGATTTATCAGAGCTGGTTCTTGATTTCTTTTATTATTATTATTATTATTATTTTTATTATTTGGGAATCTCACACCAGGCAACCAATTGTGCTCACCTCCCAGTCTTCCCATGTCCTGGTGGCATGTCCTCTCCCACATGGCACTCACACACGAAAGAAAAAAAGTCCATTTGTGTTGTCCATATACTCAGTGGAACATGGTCAAATTTCTAGTGGCCAGCCCCCCCCCCCCAAGGGAAAGTGAGTCTTCCTCTGCCTGCATCTACCCCAGAAGCCATCAATGAGGAGAGCCATGCAGTGACCAGAGAAGTGTGGGACCAGCTCTCCCTCCAGAGGCTGGGACAGTTTGCCTGTGTCTTTGGCATTGACATGGCCTCAGGTGGCTACACATGCCACTGACATCAGCATGGCACCCTGAGGCCGCAAAGCCTGAGAACATCATCAAGGCCTCAGGCAGCGGCACAGACCACATCCTTCCTCATGGATCTCAAGTTTCATCGAAGCCTGGGCATCAGCATGGATCATAGACACCAACATGGTCTCTGCTGACATCTCAAACCAGGGTGGTCTTTCCAGAAGATCCAATCCAGAAAATGAACCTTTTCTCATCTTCAGCCTCTGTTGTTGCCCAGAGCCAGGGGAAGCCCGTTGCCTGAGCAGATTCAGAGGTAAGAGTATGCATCTTCATAAGCTCCAGGGTATTGTGCACCATCCTGCGGAACCGCTTCGTTTTTTCTATCTTTCCCATCTCTCCATCACATACTTGCTTACTGTAGTGGTTGGTGCCCGCCCACCCTGGGTCGCAGGACCAGGCAATGCTTAGATGGCTTCCCTTAATTTTTTAATTGTATCCCGAAGTGAGAAGGAAGAGTTACCTTGCTCTTCTAGAGTCTCTGGCCTGTCATTAAACAGTCAGAGTTTGTTAGCAGCCTTGTCCACGTCGCACAGAGGACACATGCAGCGGATGAGCGTGAAGCCACGGGAAATGCCAGCCAGGAGTCCAGGAGACACAAGTTGCCCCCAGTCACGCAGATGTCACAGTTCTGGAATGTTCACTCTCCTAGTTAGCTTCAGCTGTCAAGTTGAGGCAGCCCAGAGTTATTAGCGGGAATCTCAACTGGGGGTTTGCCTGGGTCAGGCTGGCCTGTGGGCATGTCTGCGGGGCATTTTCCTGATTGCTGTTTGATGTAGGAGGACCCATGCACTGCAGGAAGTATCCTCTCCATCTGTGAGAAAGAATGACTACTTTGGGGCACAGGTAGTGACTTGGTCCTTAAAAAGACCTTTAGGGCACCAGAATTCCATTCTGGGTGTGGGGTTGTGTCTCAGAGCTGAGTGTGCCACCAAGGAGGGCTTCTCTGAGAATGTCACTGAGCAGCCTTGTCTGTGTGTGCTGTACTCACACGTCAATAAAAATGCGCACTTTGAAGAGTAAAAAATAGACCCCATCTCACCAGCTCATAATCACTGAATGTGCAGGCTCCACCCACTGAGTTTCTGATGCTCTCCCATTCCTGTCCTCCGCAGTGGTTTGGGATCTGTATATTGGCTGCCCTGTGCCAATTGACATGTTTCTCCTAATAGCAGCCTGGCTTCAATGCTTGCTTTTATCGGACATTAACCCTCTATCACCTAAGTGGGTATAGACATGTGTGTGCTTTCTCTCACACACATACGTACACACGCACATACACACACCTGAACACACACAAACTTTTAAAAGTAAGCTCTTAAAGCTTCAGACTCTCCAGCGAGTTTTGGACATGTCCCAGCCCTTGAACCAGCCCCTGGGAACTCAATGTTCGTATGATAACTTACAGTTATACAACCCTTTGGGTTTGCAAATCATGTGACTTCCTCCAGAACTCTGTCAACTGCATCCTCAGAGATGCCCCAGGAAGGTGGGAGAAGTCCCAAACCACAGAGTTAATAAAAAAGGGAGTTGGTATTCAAGCCCAACTTCCAGGACCCTGGTTGACCAATCATTTACCTACTCATTTACCAAGGCTCGAAAAGCAATACCAGCAAAACATAGTACTTCAGCCTGCTGGGTGTTTGGAACTCAAGGCCAAAAAAGATCTCAGAAGCCACCTGAGAACCAATGGATCGCTGATCTTCTAACCTCCTGCCTCTCACCCTCCCTCCC